AGCTGCCAATCGTTCTTCTAGATCCCGCCGAAGAGTTATGGTCATTCTTGTTTCTATTGCAATCATCAATCAATCTGCAATCATCGCGGCAGTGTTCATTGCAAAACACGTTTCGGAATACCTTAGTGGTGATAACAGGAAAGGTAAGTATCAGATGCCACTCAAGTTTTGCTATTTATTCAGAAGTCAGCAATAAAAGCGACGTATTTGAACAAAAGATAGAAGTTGGTCGAAATTTCAGCACATCGATGGCCATTGTCGATGTCCTAGCAGTGGAAACTAATCGTCTCATTCTCACGTTACACCACAAGCTAGCAGACAAAATTAATCAATAGATATATGGACAAGACGATAAAGTAAGTATTCCGTTTAATCATGTAAATGGTAAGCCAATAAAGGAAACATGTAGGAGCACTTTCGTCCGCGTTGTCCAAACTCTGCCAGATTGATTTTTCAAATTCGATATCAAAAGCTTCGTAAATTTAAAAAAAAAAACAATTTCTACAAAGAAATCGTAAAGCTGGCGTTTTTTTCCTCTCATCGATGTTAGGGTAAGAGCGATAAGTTTTAAACGTGCTTTGAAAATCAAAGACAAGCGATCCGCGACAGAAGATGTACGAGCACATAAGTAGCTGCAAGGCTGCTTAAGAGCATTCCAGACGTAAGAGTTAGGATTAAAAATTTCAATTGTATAATGTTATCTGCCTGTTTGAATTACTCAGTGGGTACCCAAGCGTGCGTATACAAGCGTGCGTTTCTTAAAACAGTGAAGTAGGCTCCTGAATACAACCAAAAGTTACAAAATGGCCAATAATGAGCAGATAACTATTTGTTATTTTCTTAATACATAATTTCATCAGTTAGCCCTTGATTAGTAATAAATTAGTCCTTTAATGGAGTCTGAGAAAAAATCTATATCATTCCACGCATTGCGTGACATTTTTAAGACGTTACATTTAAGAGTACGTGTTGTGTATGATGGTCACAGATTAAGAACTAAATCTATGAGCTGAGTTCTTGTAAGTTTTGCACACGAATTTCGGTTCTTGAGTCCATGCTATTTTGATGTAGAAGACAGAAATAGCAGCTCTAATTTCACTTTAATGGCGTCTTTCAATTGTAGGGTATCACGATGACAAATGGAAAGTTCACTCGAATAATTTGCTTTTCCTTGATAATTTGTTACTTATATCGCGCAAAATACATGTGGATATGATCTAATGCCCTTGTGTAGGCCAGAAAGGAGATTTTGTTTTGATATTTGGTTTTCTTTAACTCAAGATTGCACTGAATTATAAGTTCTTCGGACAACAATCCGGCCAAAACGATGTCATATTTCCTCCCAGGGTTAAAGTTAAAATGAATGTTTTCACGCTCTTGTGTTGTTCCTCTAATAAGCTACCTTTTTTGCTACATTACTTGTGTCCCCGGGCATCGACGAGTGCAGCACTGGTAGCTATGTGACATAAATGCGAACTGTACTAACACTGACGACTCTTATATCTGCGCCTGTAAAGAAGGATACACTGGAGACGGGCATTCATGCCAAGGTATAATCACTGCATTTGACCCAGCAAATAGCAGAATAAAGTTTCTCAAAAACAAAAAAAAAACTCTTTCCATTAAAACTTAGAAATTTGATGTTTTTCTCTCTGTCTATTAACGTTTTGGCAATTAATTTTTGTTCACAGATGCCAATGAGTGTAGCAATGGCAACCATGTTTGCGATGTTAATTCGAACTGCAACAACACAAATGTTTCTCATATTTGTACTTTCAAGGAAGGATACACTGGAGATGGACAGTCATGTCAAGGTGAATAAGAGTAGCCCACTCTATTTAAAGCAAAATTTCTTCTGGTAATATATGATAAACCATCGAATATGAGATTTATCATTTCACCATTACCTGGAATATTGTACATAGGAGGAAAACCTATTTCTGCTGCCACACTTTTTATTGTAACTTTCAACTTTCAACGACAGTACAATCGGTACAGCAGAATTAGTCACTTAGGGGGATGCACAGAAATGCCCTTTTTAAAGGTCGCAGCACTCTTGTTGCTATGGTAACAACGGCTGCTTGTTCGAGGCCTGGGACCTCATTTCCATGAAAAAAACGTCGCAAAAAAGAGTGAAATGTTTATTTCTCTATCTCAAGCTAAATACAACATTATAAATTGGCACTTCTACCATACATACTGACATCATTCTTCTTCACTTTGATATATTCAATTTTGCCAGGGAGTGAATGTGAACACACCAATAGATTACTCATCTCGATACAGTTTCGGTCATTTTTGTTGTCGGGTAAAACAGGGAAAATGTTTATCTGAATTTCTCCAAAAGTACACCGATTCTGGAACTGAAAGTACCCACCTAGCTGGTTATAATATTCTAGTTTTTAAATATGTAAACATCTCTGCGGGACTGCCTCTACTTTCCATAGGGGCAATTCGCGAACGAAGCTCAAAAATCAGATATTGCATAATTTGGCGATGTTTACATCTAATGTTCACAACAACAAATGTTTCAGAAAAATGAAATAAGCAAGTCTTTCTCGTGCTCGAACGTTATATTGGCTTTGAGCCCAGATTTGAAATAATTAATGCTGTCACTGATGAACCAAAGGGCACAATCTTCTCAGTTATTAGCTTGATAATCTCCACAGACAAACGTTGTTGGACCGAACAACCTCCTTTTTCTTCCGTAGCCGGCCACCTCAGGGGAAAATTAAAGAGACCTCTCGTGTGAATCACTGGGAGATTGCTTTATATTCATCTCTCTATAAAGATATCCGGGAGAAAAGTATGGAAAATAATGGTGATTAAATCGCTGTTCTTTTTCCTGAAGGACATGAAGCAATCTAGATTACATATAACACGTGGAGTTTCGTTCAAGTGACGAGTTGCGATTAGCGTGTGGATAATAAGTTGTTTGAAAGGTGGAATTATGACATTATGATTTCATTAAATCTTTTATTTCGAACTTTGTTATGATATTTTCTTTATCAAGACATGGAAGGAAACATTGATTGACTCGATTGCACTGCAGCGGTGATAATATCATCATATCTTATGCAAATTTTCTAACAGTTTTCTGACAGTTTTCAGATGATTCGAAATATCTTAGTTCCTATCACAAGGAAATGATAACTGCCCCAATCTGCTATTTGTAAGGAGATGCCTGTGTCGTTCAAATCGCTATTGTTGCAACTGGGTTTTACATGTAGTAATGCCGCTGACAAGTTACGATTTATACTCTCAAATTCTCAATGTTTACGAGCGTCCAATCGAGGTTTTCCTGGTTTTTTTTTTTTTTGATTGTTTTTACTTGAGAATGCGCGGAAATCTGCTGAAATATAAGAAAAATTTCCATTTCTCGTCTTCTTTGAAGCGACCGACGGAAACTTCATGGAGAAATATAGCGTCACGCCATCGTGATAACGTACATGTTTATGACAAATGACCGGTTTGAGGATAGTTTCGTGTAGATCAGCCGACTTCAGCGTGTTTCAAATGACATACAAGTATAACAGTGTATTTTCAGAGGATTTTGGATCACTCAAATTCCCATGAATGCAGCAGCACTCGGAAACTGGATGATATGCACACGATTTGAGGTGTATGTTTGTAGTTACGTTGAGTAGTCCTCCATGAAGGCTGATCAATTTTTTTTAAAGATGACAACCAGAGGCGAGATTTCTCTTCGGGATATTGCTCATAAGATAACATTCTTTCAAAGCCTCGCACGTTTCATATGTCTGAAGCGTCTGTTGTCTCTTAAAAGTAAAGGTAGCTTCTATTCCAATCAATTTACATTTGGTAATTAATGCAAGTACAATGTCGAAACTACTCAGATGTGACGAACAAAACCATGGAAAACCACGCACGTCACAGGAACCAAATATTGCGAAATTTACTTTGAACCTGGCTGGATTAGTTTGTTAGGGAATGCGCGAACAAGGATGCCGTCAACCCATAATGAGGCGTGCTACGAATGGTACAGGTTGACTGGATGGCAGTAATTCAACATTGGCTGAAGGCGCAGTTAACAGAAGAGTTTGCTTCCGATATACTAGTTTGTGTTACGGTACTCGAGATTGCTAATGAAACGAATTTTAATGACTAGTTACTGATGATCACCGCGTCAAAGAACAATGTTATTGATTTTCAGCGGAGAAAACTCTCTGAAAAGCATCGCAAGCTCTCCCCGTCATGTCGGAGTCATAATTAATGCCAGTAAGAGAATATCAAAAAATTAAGGAGAAAACAAGGATGCTGAAGTTTATATTGTGAGCATCCTAACCATCTACAATCTTTTGTTTTCGTGTTCACATACTGTGACTGATTCAATTCGGATAAGATTGCTATTTATCAGTTTAAGCAATATAACATAAATACTATTAAACATTGTGCAATTAAGTCTTGGAAAAAAAAAGGCACATGACAAAGTAATCTGGAGAACTTTATAATCAATTTACTTTAATCAACTAAAGTAGAGATAGACTAAGAAAGGTTTAAAAATCTTAAGCTGCGTCTGCAAGAAAAGTGTCAACAAATCGACATGTCTAAGGAGCCCAGGACTAATTAACTACCTCAGCCTCCCTGCGAAGACTCGAAATTTCACTTTCACAAAACATGTGAATAAGTAGATGATGGATGCTAATACAATATCATGATGAGAACGATGTTTTAATTCAAGCAATTTTTCCCCGATTTAAAGCAAAATGAAATGAATAGTTGATTCCTTTAATCAAGAAGAGGAAAATAACAAGCCAATGAGCAGGAAACGAACAGTCAGGGAGAGAACTCAAAGCTGCCGGCCAGATGTCTTCTGAAGATATTTTTAAACAGCTTTTCCGCTAAAAATGTTAATTCATTTTCCTTCAGGTCCAAGCACAGTGGTCTTCATAACAGGGAGATAAGGGGAAAGTAAAGTAAAATATTAGGGAAAAATTCAATCGGAGACCTTTCAATACATATCGATCGCTCACTTAAGAATGGCTCTGACTTGTCGCTTTCCAGTTCTGCTAATGCTGTGCCAAATGTTCTCCGGACTAATCGCACAGCAGTGCAGTCGTCAAGTTTCCGTGTATGGAATGATGCTTCAACGACACATCTTCAAGATAGTCGAGACCTCTAAAACACTTGAGTGTCTTAAGGCCTGTAACGACGAGAAAAGATGTCAAAGCTTCAACTTCGTCGTTTCCAAGAATATCTGTGAGATGAATAACCGCACCAAGGAAGCCAGACCTGAAGACTTCGTCCCTGACTCTGATCGGTATTATTTTGAAAGAGTTAGAAACAGAGGTTTGTTATTACTAAGAGAAAGAGCGAAAGTAAAACATTTCGAGAGAGAGATGCTGACCTTTCTGCTATAGCTGAAAGCAAGCTTTGGACAATATTTTTTATTGTTATTTGTACCCTCGAACAGAAAGTTGATCTCGATACGAAAGGTTATCTTTTAAGTATGTTTTGTGTAACTGGAATGTTTTTTTCATTATCATTATCTAGTTATTTAAAAATTTCTTATACATTTATTTATTTATTTATCTGTTTCTCTATTTGTTTGTATTTTCTTATGAAAATCCTTTACTTTTTTCGTCGTTTAAGTTCTGTGAATCATCCGCAACTGTCAGTTTCTTCTTTCAGAAAAGTTACTGTAAACATATTCTTGTCATTGTTCAGTTCCACTGGGATCCATTCCCGAGCTTCCTGCTGAATCGTGTAAAGAAATTAAGGCCAGTGAAGGAGAACAAGCGGTCAGCGGCAACTACAGGTTTAAATCAAATCTACTTAAATATGCCGTTTTGGTTCACTGCGATATGAAAACGGAAGGTAAAGCATAAAATTGCAAAATGAAAACTAAATCAATCATTATTCATTATTTAATTCACTGATAAATGCAATCATTTATTTTCCTCACTCACTCGTTCAATTTCTCCCTGAATGAATGCAGGGAATGTTCAGTTTCGTTCCTTTCTTTAAAATTATTATAATAATACTGAGATGGTTATGGAATTTAGCAGTGGACATTCCACAAGGTAGCCCCTCTTTGAAAAGTTGGTTTTTGTGGAGGGAGGAAAACCAGAGGACCCGGAGAAAGATTTGCGTAGCTTGGACGAAAACCAACAACAAACTCAACCCACACGTGACACCAGGTCTGGGAAACAAACCTGGGCCACAACATTGGGAGTCGAGCACTCTCACCACTGCGCCATCCCGGCTCCTCCAGAAAGAAATAGAATTTTGAACTAATTGTTTACGTTACAACTGCTATTAAATTTGTGCTACAGATATTGACGAGTGCATTCATGGAATCCATGACTGTCTCAACGAATCGGCAAACTGTTTTAATACGGTTGGATCGTACAACTGTGTTTGTAAAGATGGTTACCAAGGCGACGGAAAAACCATTTGCACGCCAGAGGGTAAGTAGTTTGACAGCATAAAAGTTATAAATTGTGACGATGAAGAGCTTTAGTTTTGCTTAATAGTTTTTTTCTTTTCCATAACTATTTAGAATGTATAAGCTACTCACTTCTGACCAGTGGAACAAGGAAAACCACCTACGGCACACCCCAGGGAAGAGAATCTTGCGACAACAACCTCAATGCGGGCTGGTTTCGTTTCCAAGGAGATGCAGGAACGAAGATGCCAACCAAATGTGTACCTTACAAAAAATGTGGCACTGACTCTACGGGTTGGCTAGACGGTTATCATCCAACAGTAGCTGATGGAAAGGTCAGCAAGACGGTTTGCTTTCGGGATCGTACAGACTGTTGTAAACATCCAGTTTATATTAAAGTAAGAAACTGTGGATCTTTCTATGTTTACCAACTAACGCCACGAACATCCTGCAACCAACGCACTGACTGATAATTATGCTAGGATCAACCACAGACAGGTCCAAAAATAACAGAGACTAAGTGAAGAGGGGGTAGGAAGGAGGGTTTGGTATCGTAATTTGATCTCAGTCATTGATAACGACTCAATAACGTCAACTCAGAAGGATCTAATCAAAGATAAATAGATTGAAAAGAAAAATTCCTAAGAAAGATGGAAGAGCAGCCCCACTTTAAACTTGCCATTGTAGATCATCGTCTAATGGGTATAGTTAACTTTACTAAACAGCAATCCAGGTTGATAGAGTCCAAAATGGCGGAGAGCACATGATTATACTTCTCAAATGACTGTCTTTATCCATGTTGATATAATTATAGCACATCTTTCCTTTAAGTACTGAGTTACCAGGGGTGCTCTCCTCTCCCTTCCTGAACGCAACCGGTTAACAAACAGCATCTATCCCAGAGCAAATGTGTACGTTTTGCTTTCGACGTTCAACCATTGTGACACAATTAAAGGAGGGGAAGGCTGGGTAAATAGGGCTCTCTTGTGTTTCAGTATTTTGAGAATTTGACCATCACTGGATAGACTTGTGCAAATTAGGCTTTGAAACAAATTTATCGGTTGTTCCTAGCCTGCTACATACGCTGTTTAGGAACCTTAACTTTCGTCAAATCGTAATAAACTTATTAGTTTAAATTATGGGTCAACACGCATTCCTTGACCGAATATTCGCCACCTAGAGTTTGGGAATATCCCTGATAAAATTTTCTCGCTGATTATTTCCTAAAATTTCCAGGCGTAATTCCATTGCGATGAGAGTATTTATTTCAAATTCGAACTTGTGTCACAGTAAAAACTGTCATTATAAAGTCAGTACAAAAAACTAAATATACATTGTATGAACACAATAGAAAAGTAAAACAATCATTAACTAATCATATCAAGAAGAAGAAAAGATATAAAAATAGAGCGATGACTCAGGCACGTTAAGGCATGGTTACAACGTGAAAACGAGGCCAAAAAATTATTTTTTCATTCCGGGTCGTTGTAGAAGATCAAATTTAACAAATTTCGGCGAGGTTATTACTATGGAAATTATGTATCATTCCATGCAATATCATTGCCATAGCAACCATAATTAAATTATAGTCACCCTTGACGACGCCCAAATTAAGTACCTTACTTTGAATTGAAATGGGGCAAACCAAATCTTCAAGACTTGAATCAAGTTCGCCCAAACCGTATTTAGGAATAGTTAATTCATAAGAGTTAGCCCTGCAAAGGCGTCGGCATCAGCCATATGTCCGTGGATGAATAGGTAAAAGTCAGGAAATCGTCACGGCAGCAGTTTGGAGGGTCTTTACGTTAAATTCTTAATGGTTACGAGCTTTGGGGTCAACATTGCAAGGCTAAAACAAGAAGAAGAAGTTCAGCAGAACTAACGTATGTTAAAATTTTTCACACTTGAATCGATTTTCTTTCCCCCATGGCGCAAAATAGGTCGTCACTCGACAATGTTCCGATTCGGACGCCATTTTGTTTCACGGCCGTTGGGAGACTGAAACAGAAACTTCGAATCCCTCTCCCCTGGGGAAGAATTTAATTGTATTTATGCCCTTTTTCTGGGGGATATGGTGAAATGAACTATGGACTAAAAAGCAGACTTCAAGATGGCGGTCGAAGAAGAGGATTCTTCGAGCTCTCGAATTAAGATTAAATCGGGTCGTTTTTAACTTTAGGGTTCCTAACAGCCATTTACAGTGTTCTTCTAGGCTACAAAATACATTTCAAGGTAGTGTTTTCTTAATATTTCCGTAATTCTTTAATAAAAAAATCGATGAAGAATGGCAATGGTCCATTCAAACCTTCGTAGACTTTATATTAGTTCATGAATGAATAAAGTGGTCCGCAAACGCGGCTCGTATTACATGTTACATGAGCCCCTTAGTTTTTGGCGCGCAATTTGTCTTAAATTTCGAGCAGTTAGCGAGTTCAAGTAGCAGCGTGGAGAGTTCCAACTTGTGTTTAATTAGAACACAATATCAAATCCCATATCCTCTGCCAAGGCAACAAAGATGTCTTTAAAGATTGACTGTGCTTGGGCAAAAGTGTTTCTTAGAGAAACTAAAAGTTTAAGCAAAACTGAAAGGATTCCCGGTGAAGGAAATACAAAGTTTGCTGCTAGATTGCTGCAAGATAGATTTAAAATCTTCAATGAACATTTTCAAGAATATCCTAGGCTACACATAAAACGGGAAGACTTCATGCGGCATTACAGAACTATTGATGAAAAATTTTACAACTGGAGAAGTAAAACCGAAAAAGAAGCGTACCTAAAAGCATTTTCCTCAATGAACTGGAATGAGGGCAAAGTAATTAGTAAAGAAGGGAAAAAAGATCACTCGTTGACCAGCTGCCAGGCCTGTCTTTTATTCAACTCTCAATTAAAATCTACCTTCCCTATAAGTAAGTTTTGCAGAGGGGCTAGGAAAGGACCTCTGACTGAACTTAACACAAATGTCAAGAGACAATGTCAGAGAGAACCTAAGGTCACAAAAAGGAAATTAAAAAGCATTGGGGAAGCAATATATGCCACCTACAATGAAAAATGCCAGGAAAACTTTCAAAAATCACTAAGTGACATTCTAGTGCTTGTCCCTGAAGCGGGTCTTCAAAAGAAGCCTTCACCTGCTGAAAAGAAAAAAATGAAGAGAAATGAGCGAAGGCAAACAAAAAAAGAACTAGAGACCAAAATGTCACAAAATGACAGTGCAGTTCACCTTAGCCTTCGACAGTCTTACAGTTCAAGACAAGTCCAAAGAATGGCCCTTTCCTTTGAAACCTTTGAAGAGGCCGAGGAGAGAGCAAAAACGACCCCACCAAAGGTCAGGGAACGATCCCACACAGCTTCACCTGCTAACATAGAAGGAAACTTGGACCAGCTACTTGCAGATGTAGAGTCATGGCCTGATGGTCCTCCAAACTGGTCAGAAAAAGCCAGAATGTACAACATCAAAACCAAGGGAAGTGATTCGACACCTGGCAATGGAGGGCAATTAGTCAGAGCCTTTTTAAAGTAAAAAAAAGTAGACATTACCCGATTTATGCCCCCATCAGTGTGCATCTCAATTCAGAGGATGGCCTTACAGGTAAAAAAAGTGGTAAATTTGTAACTAAGCCGACAGTGGAGAGTTACATCTCTGCAATATCATTTATAAGCAAAAGAAATTGTGTATTAGGATTGAACAAAATTTGATTTATTAATTAAAGAACAGTGAGATTTAAGAGTTAAAATTTAGAATTTAAAAGTAGAAGAAGAAGGCCTGAAGTAATAAGAATGCATACAACAGTCTAAGTCAAGTTAATGATGAATATGTGACCCTATAATACTTTCATGGGTTTTTATCATTTCTCTAGCCTCATGTAAGAAAAGGTTTGATTAATTTTCTAGGATTCAGGGTACGCAGAGCTATGAGGAAGCAAAAGGGGGGAGAAATTTCTGTGCCTGTGATGCAATCAAATAAACAACTCAAGCAAAGCATCCATGAGGGAATAGAGAGTGGCAAATTTAACATAGGAGAGCCAGTGATAGAAAGAGAGATTACCAAATTGGCTATAAATGCACAGGGAGAGATAGAGCAGAAGAAATGCCACTTGCAAGCAAGGAAAATTCCCTTCCGAGACATTAGAAAAGAAGCATTGATTAAAAACAAAAACCTCCTTCGAATAAAAAATGATGCATTTTATGAAGAGCTCAGTGAAAGTGAGATTCGTGCAGAGCTAGAAAAGATCAGTGAGGAAATAAGGGGAACACATGATGAAATCAAACAAAGGCTGAAAAGCTTTCAGCGGAAGAGGCATTGGCTGATTTGGCATGACCATTCAACCCTTTCAAATTATGGTCACATGCTCTTTTGTGTGAGAGAGATGTATGACCCAGCAATTCATCTCTCTGATGCAGAAGCTAGAGTTCAATATGGAAAAGATGTGGATGTCCAGGCAACAGTGGAGAGGCCCTATCTGTATATGCTGGGGCAGAGCAGTTCCAGCATTGAAGATCAGATAAAATTTGTTCCAGCCAGACATGATGATTTAGTAAATTTAACCCAAAAAGTGAAAACAGAAGAGGATGTTGAAGTAGAAGATGAGATGAGATTCATGAATGGAGACAACCCTGCAGCAAACTTTGAATGTGGAAATCAGCATGGAGGGCATTATGGTTGCCCAGGTTGTGATGGGCATTTAAGCATGTGCCACGATCTAGATTACATGGCCCAAAGAAAGTACAGAACATTGACCGAACGGCAACTGCTGGTGTTAGCAGGAAGGAAAGGAAAAGAGGCAAAACAACTCTTGAACCCATTAAAAGATCTCAAGGTCAACGAGCTACGAGCTGAAATTGAAGCAAGAGGACTTGGAGATTCAGACAAAACCAAACCAGAACTTGCAAAAATTTTAAATGAAGAACTTGGAGGGGCAACAAGAATTCCAGCACTGTTGTTTGGGGATGAGAGTGTTTCTGTGGAAAGTCTCAACCTCCAGTCCTATGAGGTACTGTGTTTTGAAGCTCTTCACTGCTCCATGAATCACATTAAAAACATTCTGGAAGAAATCCCACATCACATTTCTGACATTGATACACTGATAAAACTTAAAGAAATACTAGCTGTCCAACTTAACAAAGAGAAAAAACGAGGAGTAGATTATCGCAAGACACTAATCTACTTAACTATAGCCCTTTACCAGACAACAACCCATGATGTGAGAGCTTTGCTGGCCACCCTGTGCGAAATGGTGGAAATTTTTCATGCCCAGGACAGAAAGAGGTCACCAAAGTTGATATTAAGGTTGCATAACCTGTGTTGGAGGCATGCAATTTTGTGCCGAAAAGTGATGACCCCAACTAGAGCCCTAACAAGCAGAAAGCTCTTTGGCATATACTTCCATGCATGTGTATCTCATTCTGCCTTTCTTCTTCGTCTTGCTTCACACCGTTCAACTAATGCAGAAATGTTTGAGAGGTTGTTTGAAGAGCTGACCGACATCACCAGGAAGACCTGGAACAACCGAGTTGAAAGCTTAGTGAGCAATGCAGTTCTGCATATGCAAGCAGAGAAGACTTCAGGAGGAAACACAGCTGTGACCTGCATCATCAGGCAAGAAAAGGAAATCAGCAACATCAGCAAAGCCCTACCAAAGCTGGGAAACACAGTTTTACCCAAAGATGTCATCAACACACATGCTAGGCACTGGGAGGCTCACCTTCAGTCTATTGCTGACTTCCTCGTACCGGGAGAAGGAGTTTGGTGGAGAGAAATTGAGGATGAAGACTGCATTGAGTTCTTTGATGGTCCTGAGGAAATTGAATTCAGAGAGCAAGGACCTTCCCTTCACCACTTTCGCTCCTCCAATATCAGAATGGAGAAAATTTTCCTTCAACACTGCTGGGAAGAATGCATTCAAAGTGGAATCAAAATCCCAGCTACCAGAATTCCCAATGAAGAAAACCATAATAGAGAAGAATGCATGCAACAGAATCTGCCAGTTCAAGATCAGTCATTTGAGAGTGATGGTGAATGTGAAGAAGAAGCTGAAGATACAACTCTATTAATTGATAAAGAAGAGAGTACTGAAAACCTAGAAAATAATCAGATTCCGCAACCACAGCAGCTGAGTGAAACAGTGCAAAATGAGACAGGTGAACCACTAGCTAAGAAACCAAAATTATCTGAAGATTATTTACCATCCAGCAAAACAGCAAAAGCTCTTTCAGAGATTCTTGGCACAACCAAAGATGTTATGTTATATGAAAAACTTAAAAAAAATGCAACAAAAAATTCAAGCTCAAGATACCACAAAGAACACTTCTTAAATCACCTGGCACACATTCAAGTACAAGTTCTAAAGAAATACAAGGACATAAATGAAGCAATTACTGAGTGGTCAGCCAACTTCAACAAAGTCTTCAAAAAAAATCCCACAGAAAACCACATGAAAAAAGATCCAGTTATAGCAAAAACATGGAGGAAAAATAAAGTTGCCACTGAGCTACTGAAAATATGGAAGATCACCATTCACCTTCCTAAATAAACACTTCAAATTATTCAATGTTTTAACATATAATACGTGCTGATATTTTGTGATTTGCATAATATTTTTCCAAGCCCTGAAAATAATTAATATTTACAGTCCTCAACATTAAGTCCAAAGAAAAGCTGTCTTCAGTGGGTTCCACATGTACTGTAAGCATGAAAAAGCACCAAAAAAAACTATTTAATACATACCATTTTGAGGAACTTTAGTATAACAATCCAACTGATAAATATGAGTATCCTACATGTATGTAGATCTGGAACATAACTGAAGGCAATGTAGCATGGTAGAAATCTAAAAAAGAACAGCAACAACATGATTAATCATGTTGCAATGTTTAATTTTGTACAGCAATTTTTAAGTCATCAATTTATTTATGCTTCTAAAGGATTCATTGAACAAAATGAGCTCAAACTGTAACATTTGCCAAGTGCATGATGAATGGGGGGTCGAAGTGTTTGCACGTAACGTTACGTAAAAACTTCACCACGAACGGAGTCCATTTAAGTGTTAACTTCGGTCTCAATTTCCTAACGAGGAGAATTTAAAAAATCAGGCAGTCAATCTTTGATTATGTTGTTTAATGCGTTGCTGTAGATGTCGAGGTGTGTACACAATATAATTTGCGTCGATAGCTTATAGTTTTTTTTACTGTTTTTGGGTCAATCATATCTAAAACTTGTATTTTTTTGAGGATTTCAGCTCAATTACTAGATTTAAGGCTAACAATAAAGACGAGTTAATCAATGTTATCAACAGAATCGTGCAGATGAGTTTCCCCCGCAGTAATTCTTGTAAATAGTAAATACTGAATATTTAGCTAAAGGTTTAGTTTAATAAAACAATAGTGTAGCAGAATACGTTGGGCAAATGTTACCCAGAGCAACTGCCTTAATCTTAATGAATTGTAAGTTGTCCACATCTAAGGCACAATCTGTATGTCTGCAGAATTTTTATCTGGCTCTTAATCATTATTACTTCTGAAGATATTTTGCCTCCATATCTTATTAAAACATTTCATTGCAAATATTATGTTTACTAATTATGGCCGGAACGAGGCCATGATTAATTAGGAAATATGTAAGATCATGCAGAATCAGTTTTCTAAAGATATTATCACAGACATGGAGCTTGTATTAGACCTAGTTCTCAAAACTCCGAATGTTAAACTACAAAAGAACTTCCCTTGTTTAATAATAAATGAGAATCAACTAACAATCATGAAAATGTTTCCTTAAATAGCACTTTAAATTTTCTATTGTGTAAAAAAAACAAATTCCAGATGGGGGAATATTTAAAACAAAAGACAGGAAAGTAACACGAAAGGGAAAAACTAAAAAACCCCCGAGATTCGAGGTGAAGAGCCTAACGTACGTGCGAGAAATCCGTGAGGGGTCTTGCATAACCATCACTGCATAATTAGATTTTGACAAAAAAACCGAATGTTTTACAAACAAAAATTAAAGCGCTCATGTCATTTTTTCGCCAATGCCCATGAAATTTCATATAAATCTAATATAATTAGAAAAAATGGGTACACTTGAAAATACTTGAGGAAAATGAGAAAAGGAAATAAATTAAAAAAAAGGAGAAAAATATGATCTGAAAACATTTTTTAAAGATAAACCATAATCTCTTCTTTGTAGCCTATTGTGAAAATATTGACTTATTTTTATTTCAGAGATCATTTACCGTGACAACATTTATTTACCCAAGGCAGGAAAGCTCTTCAAATCACATATCGATTAATTTCGCTTTTGTGAGAACGCTTGTCTATGAATAATTGAATTGGGTGTAAAATATGAATAAAATCAGAAAAATTCCATTTCCTCCAGAAATGCACGGCATGTATTATCAAACCTCCTACTCTGAAAATGTGCGGTTTTCAATTGACTACATTCTTACAAATATAGATAGTAGTATAGTAGATATGAAATGAAATAAATGTACCCACTTTTTCCTGCCGATGATTTCAAACTCAGTCTCAAATAGAAAAAAACAATTTCAGTGCTGAATTATTGATGAGTAGCATATATGGTAGTCATGTTCCCAGTTGAAATGATTCAGACTTTGGCTTTTTTTCCACAACAATTAAGCACAGGCCTAAAGGGAAAGGTGTACACTCTTTGTTGGTAATTATTTTTGACCACCGTCGCGCACCCAGCAAATTCTTAAACTACAATTTTACATCTTTTTACGAATACCATTGCCTTTAAAAAGGAATACAGTCCACGTTTTTTAAAGAGACACTTCTGGGGAATTTATAAGTATTTTTCACTGAGTTTTGTAAGCTCCTCTGTAATCAGTAGATTCTGCAGGAGTGTTATGGAACAAATTTTATCTCGGAAACTAAAAAACACTACATGAGAGAAGTTTAAAGGAACATGTTGACAACAGGGAAAAGGAAAGAATAAACTTAAGATGGCTGATCAGGAAAAACAGGACGCTTTGATAAAGCTTAAAGAAATGTTTATCACTGACTTTTGTACTCAGAATTGAATAACAATGGAGATAAAGCTTTCTATTTCTAAAGGATTGCTTTGTTAGGTGTAACACTTAGAAACCGTGGAGACTTTGAGGAATAAGCCTTTGTTTTGTAATAGGCAGCTGGAATCTCTCACGCAGAAACGTGCTCATAAACGCAATGTACCCAACATCGCTGCCATCAATAACGAGGAAGTGGTGATGAAAAGACCACAAAGGATCATTTTAAAACTTTATTTGCAAACATTTTTTTTTTTAATAATTATAATATTTGGGTACAAAGAAAAAAAAACAAAGACAAAAATTAACCACCAAAGGAGAAAAAACGAAACAGGTCAAAAATGAATAAATGATCAACATTCAAATATAGCAGAAATAGGGATTGATCATACTCATGTGAAGCGTATTGCGAAAATAACCACCTCTGTCTCTTGGAGAGATCCCGCATAGTGATCTCTTCTATTCAGTTGCTTGTATAGAAAAACTTACCGATTCGTTAATCTTTTACTATGACGATTGGTTGCGATATTAACTTTATTAAAAATAAAATATCAACGAACTTCGATAACTTCCAAGGCTATATAACTTTATAAAACTTTACATAACTTATTCTAATACTTCGTTTCTTGAAAATTTTCTGCTTAAAATTATATACACCAATATGGTTATGAATCAAAATCAATTAAAATTCCAGCTTTAACAACTTTTTGGTGTTTAATAAACTTAATAAACCGTAACTCTCAAAAACCAAAGAGAGCAAACTTTCGACATAAATTATTTATGACTGTGCAGGATATCTTCGATGTAGTGCATCAGTTGAAATGATTGATGACTGGACACTGCCAGCACAAGGTTTCTTATTCAGTGAAGTCTCGAATATCTGTTTCCAATCAAGATATTTAAAGCAGGGGCGTTTGAATAACCCTTATCATTTACACGAGCGTACTATTTTACAAGACATTCTAAAAATGATTCTAATTCCATTGCTCCATGTCATTTGCACTGCGGTCGCTTTGGCTTCTGCTAAGCCAGAAGGTGAGGCACTCTCATCGTTTTTCGTTATCAGTAATTTTGAAGGTCTAGACATGATGTGATCGTGCAGAAATTACACCTGGTTCCGTGAAAAATTAAACCTTACAACTGACAACACTGTTACTTGCGGTATCACATGAATGACGTAAATAGCCCCAAGCATTCCGTCGTGTTTCCTAATACTTGAATAGTAGCGATTTGTAATTCTGACTCGAGAGAAGTATGTCATCGTTGTCGCTTTGACACTGGCTACTTCAAGCCAATACTATTATACCTCATGACTTTTCATGGTCTTTGCAGAAACATGTCGCATCATTCAGTTCGTGCGTAAAGTAAACGAAAAGGCTCTTGAAGGTCATACGATTACAACGATTAATTCGAACAAAGTCGACTTTTGTGAGACGCGGTGTTTCCTTAACCATGACTGCGTCTCTTACAACTTTGGACCAAGTGAAGACAACGATGACACATATGTATGTGAACTAAATAACTCAACGGATAACAGAAGATTGAAACCTAAAGCGATGTACGTATACAGCGAAACAAAGGTAGGTTGTTATTCCCATTCTGTTTTGCTCTAAGATTTCTGTTAATTCATTTTTATTCCTTCATTTTCATATTCTTTAATTCGTAATCAGTTGGACCATTCTCAACCTATTTCATTATTAGACTGATCTGTCTAAGGTTCATCATCTTGTTTTCTTATTTTACCGATCTAGGACTCCTGCCGGTCAAATCCTTGTTTAAACAATGGCAAATGTCAATATGGTTTTACAGCCAAAACTTTCCGCTGTCTGTGTTCCGCTGGCTTTACTGGAGAATTTTGCGAAAGGGGTAAGTTTAGATCAAGAAGGAGGGAGGGGGTGAACGCATTAAATTTGGTTTTTGTTAACGTCAGCTTATCATTGCCAGCGTGACGTCACATAGCAACATAGAACGCTTCTCACAAGGAATTTTTAGTTACCTTTGGGGACCCCATAGGTAGAAAAGTAGAAAAAAAAAAAGAAGCCAATGATAGATATGTTTGCGTTATTATTTTTTCTAAGTTGCCGTATGAGTGCATTTTCACATTAGCTAATACCTTGATGGCTCAGAATCTAAACAGGTTTTCGTCTCTTTTAAGATTCCTCCCTTAAACATTTTGTGTTCCCAGATATCGATGAATGCAAAGATGCAGCCATGTCCACTTTAGCTAACCGCTTTACGACGCGGAATCTAAAGAGTTTTTTTTTTGCTATTAAGACGAACCTCTAAATAAATATCAGTGATAGCAGCTATATATTTGAGAGATGTTAATGCAAACTGTACCAACACTAATGGTTCTCATAAATGCACTTGTAAGGAAGGATACACTGGGGGTTGGACAGTCATGTCAAGGTACAACAGATAATTCTAAAAAAGTTTTGGCATTAGGTACGATCACCAAAGGGGAAAAAACGAAACAGGTCAAAAATGAATAGATGATCAACATTCAAATATAGCAGAAATAGGGATTGATCATACTCATGTGAAGCGTATTGCGAAGATAACTACCTCTGTCTCTTGGAGAGATCCCGCATAGTGATCTCTTCGACGATTGGTTGCGATATTAACTTTATTAAAAATAAAATATCAACGAACTTTGATAACTTCCAAGGCTATATTACTTTCTAAAACTTTACATAACTTATTCTAATACTTCGTTTCTTGAAAATCTTCTGCTTAAAATTACATACACCAATATGGTATTGAATCAAAATCAATTAAAATTCCAGCTTTAACAACTGGTGTTTAATAAACTTAATAAACCGTAACTCTCAAAATCCAAAGAGAGCAAACTTTCGACATAAATTATTCATGACTGTGCAGGATAACTTCGATGTAGTGCATCAGTTGAAATGATTGATGACTGGACACTGCAAGCACAAGGTTTCTTATTCAGTGAAGTCGCTAATATCTGTTTCCAATCAAGACATTTAAAGCAGAGGTTGTTTGAATAACCCCTTATGATTTCCACGAGCGTACTATTTTACAAGACATTCTAAAAATGATTCTAATTCCATTGCTCCATGTCATTTGCACTGCGGTCGCTTTGGCTTCGGCTAAGCCAGAAGGTGAGGCACTTTCATCGTTTTTCGTTGTCAGTAATTTTGAAGGTTTAGACATGATGTGATTGTGCAGAAATTACACCTGGTTTCCGTGAAAAATTAAACCTTACAACTGACACACTGTTATTTGCGGTACCACATGAATGACGTAAATAGCCCCAAGCATTCCATCGTGTTTTCTAATACTTGAATAGTAACGATTTGTAATTCTGGCTAGAGAGAAGTATGTCATCATTGTCGCTTTGACACTGGCTATTTCAAGCCAGTACGATTTTACCTCATGACTTTTCATGGTCTTTGCAGAAACATGTCGCATCATTCAGTTCGTGCGTAAAGTAAACGAAAAGGCTCTTGAAGGTCACACGATTACAACGATTAATTCGAACAAAGTCGACTTTTGTGAGACGCGGTGTTTCCTTAACCATGATTGTGTCTCTTACAACTTTGGACCAAGTGAAGAAAACGATGACACATATGTATGTGAACTAAATAACTCAACGGATAATAAAAGATTGAAACCTAAAGCGATGTACGTATACAGCGAAACAAAGGTAGGTTGTTATTCCCATTCTGTTTTGCTCTAAGATTTCTGTTAATTTATTTTTATTCCTTCATTTTCATATTCTTTATTTCGTAATCAGTTAGACCATTCTCAACCTATTTCATTATTAGACTGATCTGTCTTTAGTTCATCATCTTGTTTTCTTATTTTACCGATCTAGGACTCCTGCCGGTCAAATCCTTGTTTAAACAATGGCAAATGTCAATATGGTTTTACAGCCAAAACTTTCCGCTGTCTGTGTTCCGCTGGCTTTACTGGAGAATTTTGCGAAAGGGGTAAGTTTCGATCAAAAAGGAGGGAGGGGGTGAACGCATTAAATTTGGTTTTTGTTGACGTCAGCTCATCATTGCCAGCGTGACGTCACATAGTAACACAGAACGCTTCTCACTAGGAATTTTTTGTTACCTTTGGGGACCCCATAGGTAGAAAAGTAGAAAAAAAAGAAGCCAATGATAGATATGTTTGCGTTATTATTTTACTACTTTGCCGTATGAGTGCATTTTCACATTAGCTAATACCTTGATGGCTCAGAATCTAAACAGGTTTTTGTCTCTTTTAAGATTCCTCTCTTAAACATTTTGTGTTCCCAGATGTCGATGAGTGCAAAGATGCAGTCATGTCCACTTTAGCTAAAGGCTTTGCGGGGCGGAATCTAAAGAGTTTTTTTTGCGATTAAGATGCACTTATAAATAAATATCAATGATAAAGCTATTTGAGAGATGTTAATGCAAACTGTATCAACACTAATGGTTCTCATAAATACACTTGTAACGAAGGATGCACTGGGGATGGACAGTCATGTCAAGGTAAAACAGATAATTCTAAACAAGTTTTGGCATTAGGTACGATCTTAGTGACTCTGAATCTAAACAGGTTTTCCTCTATATTGAGGTTTTTCTCGTAAATAATTTGTGTCAACAGATGTCGATGAATGTAACGATAAAAGCCATACTTGTGATGCTAATGCGAATTGTTCCAACGCTAATGGTTAGTATCATTGCTCATGTAAGGAAGGATACACTGGAGATGGACAGTCATGTCAAGGTGAATAAGAGTGGCCTACACTATTTAAAACATGCAGCTTTGCACATAAACTATCGCCCATGGGTATTAGCCCGCATTTTAGAGGTCTGTTTTCACGCACCACTCTCATATTTCCATTGGGTTACCTCTTTTGCATCACTTATGCTTCTAGATATTGACGAATGCAGCAATGGAAGCCATGATTGTGACGTAAATTCGATTTGTACCAACGCTAATGGCTCCCATAGCTGCACCTGTAGGGAAGGATACACTGGAATAGGAGAGTCATGTCAAGGTAATATTGGATTAGACTCAGAAAAAAAACAGAATAATTGTTCATTAAAAATAATGGTCTTCTTATCTCACAAAATGGCTAGGATTTTTTTCTCTCTTCATTTGCCCTTTGCAAATCTATTGTGTTCACAGATATTGATGAATGCAACGACGATGTTTGTGATACTAATGCTAACTGTACCAACACTAATGGTTCCCATAATTGCATCTGCAAGGAAGGATACATTATAACTGGACAGTCTTGTCAACGTAGATTAGAACAGCGATACTTCATGTTGAGCAAAGCAGATTTCCATAATAAGTATCGTCTTCGCAACTGTGGTCATGATCAAGAGGCAACGTGATGATTTTCACGCCCCAACCTCGTATTTCTATCAAGTTACGGGTTTCATCATATGCATACATGCACATTTTTCGATGGTTTGAAATATAATACGCGCGGATATTTTACGAGTTGCCTGGTATTTTTTACGAGTCCGGAGGGAAGAATATAAGGCCACGCTCGGATAACCACCCCCCCCCCCCCACCCTTCTCCTCCCTCACTTTTTTAAATAGTATAGAATCTTGAAAAATGTTTTTGCTGTCACTTTTTTTGATAACTTTACAACCTTGAACAACAGCGCAATCAGTACAGCAAAATAATTTTGTTTTCCATTCCAGATTTTTATTTCTTTATTTGCTTGCAGAGTTCCTTTATGTATTATCTTTTTATTTGACTTTTGTTCTATTGCTGAGGTAACTTAAGAAGCGCCCCTCTCGACTAATCGACAAAGCGCTCACCCTACAAATAAGTGCACCCTCCTCCTCTCCCTCCCAGTTTTAGCCGAAATTTTCAATAAGCGCCAAAGTGCACATTGAAAATTTCTATCATTTCAATTATTGAAGTACTCACAATATCGCCTGAGAAACTAAACGTATATCTTGCGGAGTTTATTCGCTCTTTTCAACTTAAAGACAGAGAAGATTATGAACCCTCATGCTTAACATGCCTCACTATCGATAAGGGAAATTTGTATGGTTTTTATCTTTCATCATCGATTTATAAACCATCGTCTGTTTGACAATTAATTGTTATAAAAGAAGCATTTACTCTCCTTATGTGCATGTAAACTATATAATAAACCCAATACATCACGTAAAGTCTGTCCATACGGTATGTGAAGAATCGTTGCTTTACATCAAAAATCTTATTTGTTTGCTGTGTTCACTCTCTCTGTTGTGGTTCTTTTTTCATGAACAGAAGGCGTAGATTGTAAGACACACACACGTTTATTCAAAAGCAAGAAGAGCACTAAAACTAAGTCACAGGTGAATAATAATCAATGGCTATATTTTACATGCGGCGGCCTAGGTACTAATATAATGATCGCTGGCCGGAAACGGAGGCTAGCCAATATTATGACACCCTCGATTTCTGATACTACGAAATCGTGGGTAAATACCATACGGAAAGACTTTCTATGAAGTATTCCATATCTATATCATTTGTACTAATAGATATCGATGAGTGCCTCATTGCAAGCCATGCTTGTGACGTGACTGCAAATTGTACCAACACTGACGGCTCCTACAACTGCACCTGTAAGGAAGGATACGCCGGGGACGGAGAGTCATGTCGAGGTATGATCACTGCATTAGACTTAGCAAATAAAAAAGAGTGTAGCGATGGCAACCATTTGCCATGTTAATTCCAACTGTAAGAACACAGATGGTTCTCATATTTGTACCTGCAAAGAAGGATACACAGGAGATGGACAGTCATGTCAAGGTGAATAAGAGTAGCCTACACAATTTAAAACAAGTAGCTTTGCACATAAGCTTTCGCCAACGGAGATTAGTCCTCATTTTTGAGGCCTACTTTCACTCACCACTCTCGTACACTCTATTGCATCACCTTTAATACATCACTTATGCTTCTAGATATCGACGAATGCAGCAATGGAAGCCATGATTGTGACGTTAATGCGAATTGCACCAACACTGACGGCTCCCATAGCTGCACCTGTAAGGAAGGATACACTGGAAAAGGAGAGTCATGCCAAGGTAAAATTAGATTAGACTTACAAAAAAGGGAA